TGAGCATAGGAGATGAGCACAGGAGGTGAGCACAGGAGGTGAGCATAGGAGGTAAGTAGAGAAGGTGAGCATAGGAAGTGAGTACAGGAGGTGAGTATAGAAGAGCACAGGAGGTGAGCATAGAAGATGAGCTCAGAAGGTGAGCACAGGAGGTGAGTATAGAAGAGCACAGGAGGTGAGCATAGGAGATGAGCACAGGAGTTGAGCACAGGAGGTGAGCATAGGAGGTAAGTAGAGAAGGTGAGCATAGGAGGTGAGCACAGGAGGTGAGCACAGGAGGAAGCACTGGACAGGATGGCAATCTCCCCAGGGCTCTGCACACAGCTGCAGAAACATGGTGGCTCAATAGCAGCACTGACGGTGGCACCCAGGGTCACTCCAGCTAGGGACATGCAAGGTGCCAGAAACTGCACAGGCTGCTGACAGAAGCAAGAGAAGACCCAGATCCACGGAGAGCAGACTCCACGGGGGCAGAGGAGATGCTGCAGACACACTGATCTTCCCCAAGCTGATCCACGGACTCAATGCAAATCCAAGCAAAATCCTAGAGAAGTTGCTACACTGACTTTCGAATTTTCTGGAAATGCAAAGGACCTAGGGGACCCCAAACGGCTTCAGGAAAGAACAATGTTGAAGGATTCACCACTGGGCACGGAGGCTCCGTGTACAATTACAGTGGTCACCGTGAGGTGAGAGCACAGGAAAGGCAAACGTGTCCAGGGAACAGAAACAGGGAGCCCAGAGTGGACCCAGGCACGTGTGGGCTACTGACTTTAACAAGGAGCAAAGACGTTCCATACAGAGAGGACTGGACCCGGGGTGCTCTGCTGCTGAGCCACATCCCCAGCCCGTTTTATTTATTTATTTATTTATTTATTTGAGACTCGGTCTTGCTAAGTTGCCCAGGCTGGCCTTGACCTTGCCATCCTCCTGCCTCATACAGAGAGGACTGGACCCGGGGTGCTCTGCTGCTGAGCCACATCCCCAGCCCGTTTTATTTATTTATTTATTTATTTTTTTGAGACTCGGTCTTGCTAAGTTGCCCAGGCTGGCCTTGACCTTGCCATCCTCCTGCCTCCTAAGCAGCTGGCCTTAGAAAAGTCTTTCATATAGATGGTGCCAGGGCAGTTGGTGACCCATGTGCAGAACGATGGACGCTGGCCCATACCTTGCAAGGTGTCCGGAATCAACTCCCAATAGATCATTGCCGTTTAGAAACCAGAAACTTAGAACCACAAAACCTGGAGGAAACAGGACTCGAGAAGATGTCTCAGGAACAAGTGTGATTGGGTGTGATTCACCAAAGGGAGGATGGTGAGCTGGGTTTCACCAAAGTGGAAGCCTCTGCTTCCTGGCAGCACTAGAACCTTGCACGGTGGTGGTGCCTATAACCACAGCGGCTCAGGGGGCTGAGGCAGGAGGATTGCCAGATCCAGGCCAGCGTCCGCAACTTAGGAGACCATTGACCTCCTGACCGCTGTGCCCGCTGTCCCCGGGGAGGGGTGCCCGCTGTCCCCGGGGAGGGGGTGCTGGCTCAGCAGTGAAGGAGCTGTCACCCTGTGGTAGGGGAGGGGCCCGGTGGCTCCTCAGTGCGTGCAGAGGACTCACCGTTGGGGCAGAAGAAAGCACTGTAGGTGTAGGACCGCGGCGCCCCTTCAGGCTGAAACAGAAATGGAGCGACTGAGAGCGGGGACAGGGTGGCGGGGACAGGGTGGTGGGGACAGTCGGCCCAGAGGAGCGTCCAGAACTCCCAGGGCAGCAGCTACGAGTCTGGACCGTGCAAGTGAGCTGCCGGGGCTTGTGGGGAACCCAGGGTGACACCAGGGTCACAGGCACACAGGAGTGACCAGGTAGGTCACCCACCTCCTAGGTCCGGGTGGCGACACGGAGGCCTCACCATCACGCTGTGCCGTGGCCGCGTGAATCTCGCCTGCTCCCCGCGCCCGGCCCTGCCCCCCCCACTGCCCTCGGGTCCCCGGGTGCCCAGAGCACTGTGCAGAGCGGCTGCGGGATCCCAGGCCCCGACAGACGTCCACCAGCACCGTGAACGGCCCAGGCCACCTACGCCTCCACCCGGTCTGTACCCGTGTCCTGCCTCCTGCCTGTCCACCTGGGCTCCCTTCTCTGTCTTGTGCCCCGGGAGCCCAGAGGCCGTCAGCTGTTCTCGCAGAAGGGCCAACATGTGGGCTCGCTGAGGGCCCTCGACAGATCAAGGATAAAGGGAACGTGGACATGACACAGTGGACTATTCAGGCAGAGGACGTGGCGAGTCCTGTCACTTGCAGTGACACGAGTGGCCCTGGAGGACATCACGTTAATGAAGGAAGCCAGGCGCAGAGATGGCGGGTGTCCTGGTTCATTTGAGGAAGCTAAAGACATTGATCTCACGGGAGGGGAGACGGGGATAGCGGTCACTAGAGGGGGAGGGAGGGGACACAGACCGTGGTTAAGCAAGGGACAGCAAAGGACACCAAAGCCCAGGAGATGGAAGAAGGCTCTGATTTTCCAAAGCACAGAAGGAGAACTACAGTCACAATGGTCGGTGACACATCCAAATAACTAGGAGAGTCTGAAGGTTCCCGGAACAGGAGATGGAAATGTTGATTTCCTTGATCAGTCATTATACATCATATCCATGGACTAAAGTATCACACTGTTACCCCGGAAACACGTATGAATATTACATATCAACTAAAAAAACCCAGGTGCCCAGAACTCAACTCCCAGACCTCAAAGGTTTGCTAGAGTTTGGGTCTGGAATGTCTCCAAAGGCCCCTGTGATGAAGGCTTTGGGGAGGTAAGGGGACCTTTAAAAGGCGGGGCCTAGTGGGAGGCCTTCAGGTCACTGGGGGTGTGGCCTTGAAGGGGATAAGGTGGTGCCAGCCCCTTCATCTTTCTCTCTGTGGTTTACCAGCCATGAGGTGAGTGGCTCCGCTTCACCATGCACTGCTGCGGTGACGTGCCGCCTCGCCACAGGCCCCAAAGCAATGAGCCGAGCGATCATGGACTGAAACCTCCCAAGCTGTGAGTCACCATGAACCTCTTCTCTTTATAAGCTGATCGTCTGTATTTGTTACAGTCACAGAAAGCTGACTAGCACACAGGAAGAGCTGCAGCAAGGCAGCCGTGGGCCCCACTCCCTCCACAATGGCTAACTCTAGGTGTCGCCTTAACTAGGTCACGGGAGGCCAGAGCGGCTAGAGGCTCTTTCCGGGTGTGTCTCTGGGGGTGAGTCAGGCCCTCCCCAATGTGGATGGGCACCGTGCTACCTGCTGAGGCCCAAATAAGGCAACCAGGCAGGAGGGTTAAACTCCCCTCTGCCCGCAGGCTTCCTGGGCTGGGACCTCGCTCTTCCTGCCCCCCTGCTGCTGGTCCTCTGACCCCCGGGCTGGGATCCCCGCCCTTGTCTCCATGGCTCTCAAGCCTTCAGCGACAGCACAGGGGACAGGTCACGGGACGGCTCCAATTCCTGGGTCACGTGGGACGTGGCCTGATAATAAATCTCGTTCGACGTCTGTATGAATGTGTGTCTGGTGAACCCCGATCTCTGCGGTCATGCGTCACTTCACCACGGGGATATGTTCTAAGAAACGTGTCCTGGGATGACCCTGTCATTGTGCAAACACCAGAGAGCGTATTTACACACAGGATGCAGCTGCTCCGACATCACTACCGGGTGATTGTACGGACGACTGTCGTACGTGTGGCCCATTGCCTACTGAAACCCTGTGTTTTCCTGTCTGTCTCCTTTTGGTTCTGTTTCTCTACAGAACCCTGACACATCCACCCTCTGCTGGGTGACATGGGGCCACTCACTCAACCTCTCTGGGCTGGGAGCCGTCCATGCCCATCGTCTCTGGTGCCCAGCCCTGGCAGCAGGGAGCGAGACCCCGTGCGTTTTCCACAGCAGGGCTGGACAGCCGGGACACCTGTGGGCCCCACAGGTAAGAGGCGGTCCTGGGTTCACAGCTGGGAGGTCTGCGCGGGCCCTGACCTGGGACTCCCCTGCTGCAGGACTTGTGTTCCGGGGACCCACGCCCCACGTGCCACGTCCCAGACCGCAAACTGCCTTGGAAAAGTGCAGAACTAGGAGACACGCACGTGGCCCTCAAAAATGGTCAGGGTCACTCCCTCCGGCCCCTCCAGAGAGCAGGGCCACCTCACGACCTGCTCAGCTCTGCGAGGAGGGGCCAGAGGCCACGGTCCTCCTGCCAGAGGCTCCCCCCAGCTGTCCCTGAGTCATCAATCCAGACCCGGGTGCTGGGTCTGGACCGCGTGCCCGGCTGCTCCCCCCGGGTCTGAGGCCCATGCTGGCCCCGCGGGTGGGGCCTGGCCTACCTCCACGGTCAGGCTGCGCCGGACGTGGTCCGCCCCGGCGGGGACCCTCCCGTCGGGGGGACCGTCCTCTGCGTGTCTGCTGGGCCTCCCGTCCCGGCAGCAGCCGGCGTCTCCATAGGCCAGGGCTTTGGCTGCAGGGATTTGGTGGCCATCAGAGCAGGTCCCCACCAGGGTGGGCTGCCCCTCCCTCCCCCTGGGTCAGGCACGCGTGTGCCTCTGTGCAGGTGCCGTGTGCGTGTGGGGCACGTGTGCACGCATTTCTGTGTACACGTGCACACGTGCGTGCCTCTGAGCAGGTGTGTGGCCTGGGTGTGGCTTGGGTGTGCCTGTGCTCTGTGCCGGTGCCTGTGTCCCACGTGGCCTTGGCACCATGACAGCCCCGCTCCCCCCGGGTGAGGCCCTGGCCCTCTCCCCAGAGCTGCCCCCTGTCCTGCTGGCCCCAGCTGCTGTCCTGTCCTTCAGGACGGTCCTGACCTCACCTGCTGGCCCATCCGCCCCACGGCCCCCGTGGGGCCAGAGCCTGGAGTCCTTGGTGGCTGGAGGGAGCAGGGGGTCCCCACCTGTGATGTTGCTGAGCCCCAGGTTGCTGAAGGACAGGGCCACCCAGGTGGGTCCCGTCTCCCCGGGGGCCACACACATCTCCTGGGTCAGGTGCCGTCTGCCGGGGTGCCCCACCAGCTGGACGCCCTTGGGCACGGAGATCTTCACGTGCACCTGCAGGGGGCACTGCTCATGGCACCTGGAACCCAGGCCGGCCTCCCTGCCCCACCGTCCACCGCAGGTCCAGCCCCACCAGCCCTCTCCAGAGGCCACGCCGTCCTCAGAGGCCCCTTTCCACTTCAATCAGGCAAACACCGGCGCTGTCTGGCTGCCCTGCTGCGGGCTTGTCCCCGCCCCTGACTAGCTTGGGCCTGCTCCTCTCCCAGCCCTGCGTCCCCACAGGTCCCTGCAGCCCCCAGGACCATGGGGGCTTCAAGGGCAGCCTTGCCCGCCACACCACCCTGGGCTCCTGATGGACACACCCCGACCCACTGCCGGTCTCCCACGGGGCTCCCTCTGACTGTCTCCCCAAACCCAGGGCTCCCTGGGGAAGAGTATGGCTGTGTGTGTGCACACGTGTGTCTCTGGTGCACGCGTGCTCAGCCTGAGCAAGCACAGGGTGCACACACACCAGCATGCGTGTAGGTGCATATGGGTGCATGTGTGTGCGTGTGTGTGCGTGTGTGCGTGTGTGTGTGCGCGTGTGTGCGTGTGTGTGCATGTGTGTGCATATGGGTGCATATGTGTGCATATGGGTGCATGTGTGTGTGTGTGTGCATGTGTGCGTGTGTGTGCATGTGTGTGCATACGGGTGCGTGTGTGTGCGTGTGTGTGCATGTGTGTGTGTGCGTGTGTGTGCATGCTTGTGTTGCTGTGAGCATGTGTGTGCATGTGTGTGCATGTGTGTGCATGTGTGCGTGTGTGTGCATGTGTGTGCATATGGGTGCATGTGTGTGTGCGTGTGTGCATGTGTGCGTGTGTGCGTGTGTGCATGTGTGCGTGTGTGCGCATGTGTGCGCGTGTGCGC